AAGTCCTTAGGCCCTCATAGAAATGGCGATGAGGACATAGTGGACCTGATTCTCTGTTGCTATGCACCTGTTTGGTAGGACTGGGTACCCACTTGGGCATTGGTGTAAATGACGACACACGGGGCAAGGCACTGGAAAATCAGGTACTACTGTCTTATGTTGGGTGATTAGATTAAAAAAACCTTCCCCTGCAATGGAGACACCTACTTTCCTCAGCTTGCAGGGAGAACTGAGGCCCCCTTGTGCGAAGTTATCATAGGGTTCTGCAGAATGGAGGGTCTGATTCAGGCCCTTCACCAATAGTGAGTTTTATCCAGAGGGAATAAAGCACGTAAATGCCCCCTACCTTGATGGAAGAGTTAAATCCTTTCGAGTCTAGCAAAAGGGGCCATTAATCTTTTCTGAAGTATTGCTTTTGGTCCACATTGTTCCTTTACAGGGAAATATGCACATGGGGAAGAAAATGATCCCTGGACTGTTCTTTTGAGACAAGGTGGATGAGATTTGCGGTGGCCACCTCAGCCCCTTATCCCATGGACTGAATAGGGGGTGTGTATCTCAAAAACATGGAGATCTCGCAAGAGCAATGTGAATCTTGTGAGATATACTGGAGGCCAGCACTGTCTGCATGGAGGCCCTGTGTCTCTGCACTGTCTCCTGGCTGACTATAGCTTTCTTTCACCCCATCACTTGCTGTGCCGACAGGATGTCTTCTCCTGAAAACTTTCCTAAAACCCCAGAAAAGGGGTGCAAAAAATTGACACAGCTTTAGAGAGTGTTAAGTTTTCAGCAGATTCCCTGCTGGTTTCTGGATGACCATACACAGCACACATAACACTCCTAACCCTAACCCCTTCTCCCAGAACAGATTCCTCACAGGAATCGATAGCGGTCCAGGAAGGTTATGATGCAGCTGAGAAAATAATCCATTCTTCTGTACTCCTCAGACTGCAATCCGGTAGTAATGGGAACTGATTTGACCCATTGTTAATGACTCATAGCAATAAATTCTACTCTTAATAATACATCAACTTTGAAGTATCACAACCTGAAAGTATCAAGGCACAGAGTTTCCCTACTATTGAAATTGTGAAAAGAAAAATAATTACACACTTATCCCCAGTAAACATTTTGCATTGTACTATTTTACATTGTGGGCAGAGTTATTTTAATCGGAAAAATGTATATGTTGCACCTACCCAGAACTGTTTGCTGATAATCAATTTTAAAATACATGTGTATAACCGTTGTGTGTTTGTAAATATATGTATATATAAATAACATATATTTTGTTTAATTTCACTTAGAGTGTTTGTGGTTTGCTTTTAAGCTTTCATTTATGCTTGGCTGCTGTTCACTTATTCAAGCATCCTCAATATCGTCTGGTTTAATAATATTCTGAAAAGTTATTATTTATTATTTGTATTACCATAGTGCCTAGGAGCCCTAATCATGGACGAGAACTCGATTGTGCTAGGCACAGTACAAATACAGAACAAAAAAATGGTATCTGCCCCAAAGAGTTTAAAATCTAAGTAAGAAATGTGTTTCCTGTAAGAAATCATAATTATTACATCAAGCTTTTACAGTAGACAATATAATTTAAGTGACTATGAAATAATTTACAGAGGAAAGTGGAGACTAAATAGATGAAAACATTTGTTTATGATGTGAACATGACAAGCAGCGTGTACAACCTTTTACCTTTTGGGCTTCATTTGGTGCTCTAACAAAAAGAGGTATATGGGAAATGTATTTGTTATTGTGAGATATTAGGCCATAGTGGCTTGTGTAGAGGACTTCAATTGTCAATTAATGACCAGCTAGTGGAGGTTAGACCCCCAAACTGCATAGACTTAACTCTCTTAAACCATGATAAATAATAAAAAGCATTGGTGCTGACTCCGTGAGTGCTCCGGGGCTCATGCACCCACAGAAAAAAAATAGGGGGTGCTCAGCACACAGAGACTGTGGCCCCGCCTGCACTCCACTCTGAGGTCTCATCCCTACTAGTCCTCTTCCCCTGAGGCCCCTGCCGCTCGCCCTTAAGGCTGGGGGCGGGGGAGGAGGCAGAAAGGAGTGAGCATCAGGAGGGAGGTACTTGGAGGAGGGAGTAGAGAGGAGCGAGCAGCAGGTGAGCGTGAGGGGGGCCTCGGGGGAAGGGCAGAGGAGAGCAGTGGGCAGGAGGTTTCCTTGAGGGAGGGGGAGGAGAGGAGCAAACGGGTGGAGGAGGGCCTCAGGGGAGGGGGATAATCAGAACTTCTGGTCTCATAACTGAATCTTCAAAGATATTTATGTGTTTCAGGTTGGGAGGGAGGAGAGTAATGGAGGGACAGTTTCAGGCCTTCAGGAATGTCTCAGCAAAGTAGCCATGGCTATATATGTTGGGAGTTAAGGAGAGGGGAAAAGGAAGCAACCACTTTTTATTTTTTCTGAACCAGTTCCCCCATCCTTGCTGCAAACAACCATATTCATAAGTATTAATGAGACTTTTTCCAAAGTTAAAGTAGGAATACATGGTTGCACGTTCATCTTAAGTACCAAACATATGGTGCAGATGTTTGAGACTGTACTAAAAGCAGAATGATGAATACTGTACAAATAATTTGGGCTGATCTAAAATTGTAGAAAATAAATGCAATTATTTTACATTTATATATATGGAGGTGTTCGTTAGGTTACACTGAGTTTTTAATTTACAGTAGGAATTCAAACTCTGTTTTCTATACACAACACAGAGTATCTTCTTCAAATTTATAGACATAATCTGTGAGTAACTTTTCCTGGGGGGATTTTAAATAAATTATTAATTAGTTTGAGTGTAATTTTTAAAAGTGGGCACTTTACAAAATTTGTTCTGCTGAGTCTCACCTTCTTTTGGTACAATACCTAAAACAATCACTGCCTACACAAACTCCAAACTTTATACATCTCACACTCTGAGAACATCTCAGATACTTTAAAAAAAAAATTATTTACTTCATTACCTGACATTTTATGAGCCAGCAGAGCTAGTGAATAAACTCTTCTCCCTTAGTAGTAAGTTTCCAAAGTTCTCTCCGGTTTCAAAATGGCCACTTGTTCTCATTGTTGTAATAGCCCTGAGGCCACAGGTTTTCCTCAGCTAAGCTGACCATCTTTTCTCTACAACCAATACATGTGGCAGTTTTTACTACTTGTAAGAAAGATGGCCATTACCTCCCATTGTTCCCAATAGGAGAGAAGCCAGGCTGCTGTCTGGAAAAAGGGTGGTTCTCACTGACGTAAAGAGGCCATGAGAACCCTGAAAGGTGAAAAAATATTGGGGGCAAGAGTGGGAAAAGGGTTACAAGAGTGTGAGTGCGTACCCATGCACATAGACAGTAGAGATACTTGCATTATTTAGTCAGTGCCCTCGGGGGACTCAGGCTAAGGGTCTGTTTTAATTACAATATAGACATTTGGGCTTGGGCTGGAATCCCATTTCTAGGGCTCTTTGAAGTGGTAGAGCCCCAGAACTTTTGCAACACAGTTAAACAGACCCTTAGCCCAAGCTCCTCGAGCCTGAGTCAGCTGGCACAGGCCAGCCATGGGTTTTTAATTGCAACGTAGAAATACCCTTAAGGTTGAATTTAGAGTGGGTAGCTTCCCCAAAAGGCTTAACAGTTGGAAGGCAGGTAAAAAAACAAAATTATGTATTATTTTAATATATTTATTCAAATATATACATTTTTTAAAATATCATGATTTTAAGGCAATCTAATGTTTCTTTGGTATCTGATTCATGATATTTGATTGTTTGTGGCTGGTAATACTGCTTCTATGGCCCTCTCTCATTTCCCCATTGCAATCCCTGCTTCTCTTCTCAGCGAAGAGAGATAGGAACAATCAGGGGAAAACAGTGTCTTAAATTTCTGGGTTCAGAGTCTCCACAGAAAAATTCAGGTGTGCTGCATGTGATACTCATCGGGAATAACTGGAACTGGCACTAGACATGAAAGAGTCCCTATCCATTTACCATCCTCGTAAGCCCCCTCAGAAGGTTTTTTTTTTAATATATAAAGTGAATATGGTTTAATGAGATGGCTTATTGTTGTTATTATTAAGATTATTTATTATTTGTAGTACAATAGTGCCTAGGCATGCTAGTCATGGTCCAACACCACATTATGCTAGGCACCGTACAAAGAGAAAACAAAAAAGATGTCCGTGCCCTGAAGAGCTTACAATCTAAATAGAGAAGAGAGATACATGGTGGGGGAAGGGGTTATAACATGCAACCAGAGACGCAAATGTCATGTTAGTTCCATGATGTTTTATTTATTTTGTTTTTTGGGTGGGCTTAATAAAAGGGATCAGCTAAAGGGAAGGAAGAGAGGACATTAAAGGGATGGTGGTGTGAGGGACAGGGAAGTGGGGAAGAGGAATGATGCTGAGATGAAGAGATTGTGAGGCAGAGGGCGATGAAGACGGTGGAGCAAACAGCCAATCAGCACAGGGCAGAGAAAGTCCAGTCAAAACTGGAGAAAGTTCTTCAAAGGACGAAAGGTCCTTGCTTTGGCTGCTTCTGCTCCTATTGGCTGCAGTGGCTGTCTGTCTGGCTCCTCTTTGCAGCTTTCTCCCAAGCCCAAGTAGAAGAGGAGGGGAGACATTACCTGGGTCCTAGTACCCCCATAATGATAGGTCTCCCCTTCACAGTTCTGGGTTGAAAGGGGTGGCCCTGTCTGGGCTCCATTTTTATCAATGCTCCCATTGCAGCAGATCCTGCTTTGTCTGTGTCTATGACACAAGATTCCTGTTTCTTTGTATTATGTTTCAGCAAATTAACATAAATATAATAATATGTGCATGGAGGAGAGAGGGTCAAAGATGCAAAGTAAATGCACTTTATCCCATTTTGTTATATGGAACAATACATTTATGTTGTGCGTACCAATATCTATCTCTGTATAATGTAACATGTATATTTGTCAGTGTATGACTGAGCATATATTAATTTGAGCTATTTTACAATCTTTTAGGTGGCCATAATAGCAGGAAATTTTGAGCTGGCTGAATATATCAAAAATCACAAGGAAACAGATATTGGTAAGTAAAATATCTACAAACTAGTGACAATGAAAAGCTTTATGAAATGTTGATTGGAATCTTTAGATCCAGATTAAAATCCTATAAAGAACAGTTAAATCTGGTTTTATGTGAAATATAATCAGAAGGCTGAATATGCGGTTGATACAGAGAAATATTCTAAGTTTATCTTCCATTTTCTAAAATGTGAAGAAATAGGAAAAAGGCCAAATTGTTTTTCAGAGAGTCTTTGTTTTAGAAAATTGGATATAAGTACCACTACTGAATGATAGATGTATTCTGAGTAAGAGTGATCAGTTTTGGACAGATTAAACACACACACAAGCCAGAGAGGGCAGATTCCCCCCTTCAGCAAGGCTGCTGCGCACTGTGTCAGTGCAAAGCAGTGCTAAAGCTGGTGGAGCTGATCACAGGAGGATTACCTCAACACAGAGATCCTCCACTGGTTAGGACCTGCATGGCACTTCCTGCCATATACCATGCCCCCTAATTGCAGCAAGTAGAGGGTGGCTGAGATAGGGTTACCATATTTTAAGTGTCCAAAAAGAGGACACTCCACGGGCCCCGGCCCCGCCCCAACTCCGCCCCTTCCAACCCCAACTTCGCCCCCTCCCCTGGACGCTTCGCCCCCTGCCCCTCCCCTGCTTCCCACGAACATTTGATTCACAGGAAGCCTGAAGCAACAGGCAAGCTGGGGAGGGGGGGGCGCGGCCCTGTCCGGCCTGCCCGGCCAAGCGGCTCTGGCCCCGGCGTCTCCCGCCCGGCTTGGCTCAGGCCCTGGGGTGCTGGCCCCTGGCCGAGCACCACCAGCCCTGGCCCCCGGCCGAGCACCTCCGGCCCTGCACCGCCGAGCACTGCCGGCCCCCGGCCCGAGCACCGCCGGCCCCGGCCCCGGCGA